TCGTCTGCTGTGAGTCGACCGCCCTCTACTCCCACCCACTACTCCGGCCGCCAGACGTTGCCTACAGTCTTGGCTCTGGCTCCCACAGCTGTGGGCCAGACCCCACGGGACCCCCACAGGACCCTCACGGACCGAGTCCAAGGCCCGCCCCCTCGGGGAGGCGGATGTGGGAGGCTTGGCTCCGGGCGCGGGTCAGCGGATCCAGGAGCTGCGGGCGGCTGGGAGGGGCGGCCGCGCTGGGGGGCTGGGAGCGGCGCGGGGGAGGGTCCTGGTCCTGCAGCCCCAGCGAGGGGCGAGCGGCGGCCAGTCAGCGAGTTGGGCAATAAGGAAACGGTTTATTAGGAGGGAGCGGTGGAGCCGGGCCAGGCAGGAAGACGCTGGAATAAGAAACATTTTTGCTCCAGCCCCCTTCCCAGTCCCGGGAGGCCGCCGCGCCAGCCGCGCCGAGCGAGCCCCTCCCCGGCTCCAGCCCCGTCCGTGGCCGCGCCCGGACCCGGCCCGCCGTCCAGCTTTCGCCGTGCAACCGCGGCCGCGCGGTGGAGGGGAGGTGGCCCCGGCCGGCCGCAGGCTCGCGCCCCGCCACCCGCAGAGCGGGCCCAGAGGTGAGTCGAGGTCCGCAGGCGGGACCGGGTGGCGGGCGGCCTCAGCCCCGCTTCCGTGGGCCCTTCCTTCGGGCGGACCCGAGTCCCCGCAGAGTGGTCGCGGTAGGATCAGTCCCAGATCATCAGGAACGCAAGCTGCCCCTGGCTGACCGCGCACAGCTGCCGGTGACCCTACCTGAGACTTGGAGGGAGCTGGACGAGACCGGACTGGAGATCAGAAACTTGGCTCTAGTCGAGTGACCTGGCGTCAGGCACTTCACTTCTCTGTTCTCCTACCCTCTCCATAAAATGGGCAGAGGGATTCATGTCTTGCTCTACGCACATAGAAGGGATCACACGTCCTGCCAGGCCGCTGGGTGGACCTGGAGTGAATGCCCGCTTCCACAGCTGCTGAGCCTCCCCGCAGAGCTCACCTTTCCCAGACAAGCCCTTGCAGCTGTTGCTTCAGGAATCTGACACTGTCACTCCAACCCACGAGCCTCACCCCAGCCCTGCATCCTCAGGTCATCTTCATGCCACGGCCTTCCTTCAGGATCCCGGCCAAAGGCGATCCCAGTCTCCCTCCAAGCTGGGACCCCAGATTTTCCACCAGTCCTGGAGGCCAGTGCCGCAAAACCCATGGCTGGGCTGGCTGCCTCAGCTCCTCTTTCCTTCTCCAAGGATGGGAGCATCATGGACAATTGCTCTCACCCTCTCTGTTGATGGGCACCTGCTGGCTGAGTCAGGGTCTGTCCTAATACCTGTCCTCTCGCCTGTCCTCCCATTTCATTGGTTTGTTACAAATAGCTACCATTGATTGATTACTTACTATGTAAACACTTAGATATGTTTTTTCTCATGTAATCCTGGCCACAACCTAGTGGAAGAAGGGTTACTATACCCTTCCTACAGAAAAGGAAACAGACTTGAATAACTTCTCCAAAGCTCCTTGGGTAGTGTAAATGGCATGGTTGGGGTCTTGATAACATTTAAGTGCTTACTGTGTACTACTTAGTACTCTGCTAAATAATTTTACTACATTTTACCTATGAGATAACACTGTTATTGTTCCCATTTTACATATGATGGGAAGCCTAAGCCTCAGAAAGTTTAAGTAACTTGTCTCAAATCTCATACCTCTAAGTGGCAAAGGCAGGACTTGAACCTCGGTCTCCATGATCCAGAGCCCACACCCTAACCTCTGTGCTATACTGTGCTGCCTCCGTGGTCTGCCTGAGACCTGAAACTCCAGGCTTGTTCTGCTGCATCACCCTGCTGTCAGGGGCTAATAAATCACATGGAGGAATTGTGAGGCAACCCAATATGAGCAGCGGGGTCTGGTCCTCTGCTTTTGGGATAAGGTCTACTGAAGTGCAGAGTGAGCCCAGAAGCTTGTGCTTGACACGGCGCTTCTCTAGCCCTGTGACAATCACTGCTGTGCTGAGCCACTGCCGTTGATGGGAGTGGGTCCTTCAGGTGTGCTGGGGAGAAAAAGGTGGATAAGCAACTTTCAGGCATACCACTACTCTGGCTCTCCCCACCTGAGGCTCAAACTTTGACTAAGCCTATGGCAAACAGATGATTTCTAGGCAGCAACACCATCTTTGTTGCCTGGGGCAACATAGTGAGACCCTGTCTCTACTAAAAATTAAAAAATTAACTGGGCATGGTGCTGCGCCCCTGTGGTCCTAGCTACTTGGGAGGCTGAGGTAGAAGGATCACTTGAGCCCAGGAGTTCAAGGCTGCAGTGAGCTATGATTATACCATTGCAGTCCAGCCTGGGCGACTGAGAAGGACCCTGTCTCAAGAAAAATTAAAAACAAACAAAAACACTGTCTGCATTTAAACAAATCTGAGTAGGGCATCCATTAATAACAATAACAGCAGTGGGCAATTTGTTCATGTCCACCAAAACCCACGTCTTTTTCTTCCTTCGAGGGATTCTTCTAACTCCAAACAATTGGAGGAATAACAACGACCAAGGAAGGTTTTATTATCAGCAATTTAAGTTTATTAAGACACGCTTGCTGACTACAGGCGAGAGACTTAACATCTTTGAGCCTCAGTTTTCCCCATTGGATTGTTGCAATGATTAAATCAGATAAACCATTAAAGTTCAGTACTTAGCTATAATTAATATTCAGAGAAGGTTAACAGTTATTATTATTTCATGGTGTTTAGCTAATGTTTGAAATTAGTTTAACGTTTGTAATTTCTGGCCAAAAACAGTGATGCTTCTGTCAGCAGGAGATTTTTCTCAAAGTTTTGCTTAGAAGTGAAAGGATCCCGCCAGACCCCAGGAGTCTGTTTGTGCTACGGTCAGGTGTCAGGGCAAATTGCACAGGGTCAGCTCTGAGTTTGGACTGGTCAGGACTCAGCATCCTCCTGTACTTGACCTCACACTGGGCCCAGTTAAACATTGGACAGTCCCAGTTTGACTCCATCACATTCCCAGGATTAGACCATAGATGGGTTCTGCAGACGCAGCCAAGCCTCACTCCACAGTGCCACCAAGTCCTGGCTTTGGTGTTTAGCCTCAGCTGTCCCTTCTCCTCTAGGAGATGGGGAGGTTCCTGGGTGGGAGTGAGTGTCCCCTCCCTCTGCATCCCACTCCCACTCACCCAGCAGGGCCCTGCACAGCAAAATGAAAGCAGAGGAACCAGACTGCGCGTTGTGCAGGATCCGTTTCTCAGAGAGTGGTGCCCACATAAATGGAGCAGAACTCCCTGGGGAACTTTTTAAAAAGTGTGTGTTTCTTGCTGGTTCCAGGACTCAATCAGAATCTGGAGTGAGGATGAGACCAGTGAATGTGCTTTTCTAATTGAGAACTTCAGGTGATTCTGATGTGTGATAATGTAGAGGAGGGTGGTCATGAGAGAAGCAGAGGTACGGACAGACGGTCCTAGAGGGATGCCGGATTTTAGCCTTATTGCTAGACACTTTTTTCTTCCCACCTCAAACCCTCTCCTTTGCAGCTTCCTGGGCTAGCACAGGCTGCCAGGGATGGCTTGCTGCTAGCACGCCAGTGAACAGACTCAGCTCCTCTGGGGCGCTCTCTCCATCCCATCCCACCTCACCAGAGTCCTCACTGGCTGCGGGAGGGGCAAGAGGCAGGAGGTCAGGCAGAGGCTGGGGACACAGCTGCAGCAGCCCAGGGCTCTGTTTCCTTTCCCAGCCTGGGCCTCTGGGGCAGAGGAAGCCCAGGCAGGAAGGCCGGAGCTGCCACCAGCTAGAGAGCCCCAAGAAGCCCCCCCACCCCACCCCCAGCCATACTGCCCTTGGTGCCTCAGCATCTTGGGTCTTCATTTGGCACCATTCGTAAACTATGGGCCTTCTGAAGCCTCTGTGGCCATATGCCCAGCCCTACCAGCCTCACCATGTCATGCCAAAGGACAGTCTCCCTCCCTCGTGCCCTGCCTGAGGATCCAGTCCCCAGACACACACACCTGCACACACTCCGCCATTCAGAAAGTTCTTGCTGCTGTCTGACCAGGGTCCTTCTTGCTGCAGCTTTAGCCCATGTCTTCCAGTTCTAAACCTCGGAGAAATGAAGACTGGGTGGCTTCAGAAGCACTAGTTGGTGTGGGACCTGGATTGGGGACTATCCTAGACCAGAACTACTCCCCGCAACACTCTCCACCAAACTTCTGGAAAATTCAACCCTAATCAGCCATAGAAGGTCAAACATTCAGTGTCTAAGTGTGTTTCACTTCCCCTGCCACATCACTGGGCCTCCCCCACCCTTTCCTAGATGGCAAGGAGAGAGAAGGGGGCCAGGGAACGGTTCAGAGAGCTTATGCTCTGGTGAGGCTGCAGAGAGGTTCCTCTACACGTGGTGTGACCCTGCGCCGTCCAAGCTTTGTGTGGTCCTCACAACCCCGAGGGCTCAGACATGGGCTGCCAGCACTGGGCAGGGATGGAGCAGAAAGAGCACTGGACTAGGAGTCTGGAAACCTGGGTTGTACTCCTGCTGGTGCCACTGAGTCCTGTCTGACCCGGGACAAGTCTTCTTCCCTGTATGGGCCTTAATCCACTCTTCTGTGAAAACAAAGAGCTGGAATTTGTGATTCACAAGATGTCCACCTAGAATTCTGTCATGTGGGTGTCCCAGGCACAAGCAACTAAGGGAAGCAGGGAACTAGTATTTAAGTAGCCCCTCCAGACCTTGTGGCTGCTGCAGCCCACCCCGAAAATATGCCCTCAGTTCACTGCTGTGCGTGACTCCTGTCTGGTCTATCCAGACCCCAATCTAAACAATCTTGATTCCTGTTCCTGGCTTGGCGGGACCCTGAATGGCAGGAAGTGAAGACAGGAGCCTGTTTATGTTTGAGGCAGCCAGGGCTGGGGGGGCACTGGGAAAGGGTAGGCAGGGGTGGAGGCTGTGAGGGGGTGGGCAAGGGACACAGAAGAGAAGGGGAGCTGCTGGAGAGATGCTCCTTCTACCCCAACTTGGTGCTCCCTGAGGCCCTCCCAACCTGCCTCCAGTCTGAGCTCTGCAGCAGGGGTGCAGAGCTAGGGTTCCCCCAAGTTCTCAGTCACTTAAACATGGCTCCCCACCCTTCACCTCTAACAGGATGGTTTCCATGGGGAAGTGAACCAGGACTTCCCCTGCAGGCCCCGCCCCAAAGCCAGGCGTCAGGGAGTAGGGAGGCGGCCTCCCTGCCTCCCCTCCAAAAAAAACTCTCTGTGATTTCCTCTGGGTGGGAGGGAGCCACGGCCGGCGGCTGTCACATTGCAGCTGTTACTCCACTTCTCTTGCTCCTCTCTGCAGGGACCATGACCTTGGGATCTCCCAGGAGACACCTTCTGATGCTACTGATGGCCTTGGTGGCCCAGGGTGAGTACTGAGGGAGCAGTTAGGAAACAGGAACCTGGATAGAGAAAGGGCTATCTGGGCCCAGATCAACTCTGGCTGGGGCTGAACTTGAGAAGCTAGGGAGAACTTAGGAGCTTGACTGGAGGGTGGGGGACAGTGAGGCTCCATCAGACTCAGCCCCAGCCACCCCAGCCCTCCTTTGCTCTCCTCTTGGTCCAGACCTGCAGGCTGGCTCTGTCAGGCCAGGCGGGGAGCCTATATGTGGGGTGGAGGAAGATTGGGTGTTGGCAGGCCACGCTTGGAAGAGCTCTCAGGGCTGGGGCTGGGGGCCCAGCGCAGCCTAGAACTGGGAGGGGTGGACCTAGGAGCCAGGAGGGGACAGAAGCCTGCTTCCAGAGTGTCAGCTGCCCCGAGGGTAGGGCTCTGAGGGAAGGAAGTATGACTGAGGATGGAAACAAGGGACCAAAGCTTCGAGGGGTTTGTCTGAAGGGTCAGATGAGAGGGTCAGTGGGACAGAAATGGATGTGGGGCTCAGCCTGGGGGAGCTGGGCCCAGAGTGCCTGAGCTTCCAGTGTGTCTTCCAGGCAACCCTGTGAAGCCCTCTCGGGGCCCGCTGGTGACCTGCACGTGTAAGAACCCACACTGCAGGGGGCCTACCTGCCAGGGGGCCTGGTGCACAGTGGTGCTGGTGCGGGAGGAGGGCAGGCACCCCCAGGAACATCGGGGCTGCGGGAACTTGCACAGGGAGCTCTGCCGGGGGCGCCCCACCGAGTTTGTCAACCACTACTGCTGCGACAGCCACCTCTGCAACCACAACGTGTCCCTGGTGCTGGAGGGTACGTCCAGCTGCCCCAGCACTCTCTCCCCGTCTTCTCGGCCCCTGCCCTTCCTGCCCTTCTTTCCTCTCATGCTCTGGCCAATAAAGGAGCGGGGGGTGGGGGGCAGAACTCTGGGATCTAACTGGCAGAGTGGTCTGGCCCGAGGTAGGGGGAGCTGACCTAGTGGAAGCTGAGCCTCAGTGTCCCTCTCCCCTAGCCACCCAAACTCCTTCAGAGCAGCCGGGAACAGACAGCCAGCTGCCCCTGATCCTGGGCCCCGTGCTGGCCTTGATGGTCCTGGTGGCCCTGGGTGTCCTGGGCCTGTGGCATGTCCGGCGGAGGCAGGAGAAGCAGCGCTGCCTGCACAGCGAGCTGGGAGAGTCCAGTCTCATCCTGAAAGCGCCTGAGCAGGAGGACAGCATGCTGGGGGTATGGCCCTGGGACCTGGGACACAGGGTGGAGGGGGGCAGATAGGAACTGCAGAATCAGAGAAGTCACCCAGAGATTAGAGCCGGTGGGGAGCTGGGTGAGTGAGGAGCTTGCAGTGACCCAGCAGCAGCTCCCAGGTCAAGGATGGAGAATGGGGCTGCGGCTGGTGGGGGCAGCCTCTCAGTGGTCTCTCCGTACCCCCAGGACCTCCTGGACAGTGACTGCACCACAGGGAGTGGCTCGGGGCTCCCCTTCCTGGTGCAGAGGACAGTGGCACGACAGGTTGCCCTGGTGGAGTGTGTGGGTGAGCAGTGGGTGAGCCTGGTGGATGAGGACCAAGGGCTCCCATGAGTCTGGAGGGGTGAGGGAGCTCTTGCTTCCGGGATAGCAGGCAGTGCCAGGCCTGGGTCAGAATTGGAATTCTGCTGGGCAGGGAGTGGGCTGGAGATGGGCCAGGGAGAGGTTCTTCTTTCTGCAGGAGCCAGGGTGGAATGAGAGGCAGCTGGGGATGGCCTGTCGCTGGGTCTGGGTTAAGTTAAATCCAAGGGTCGGGGTTTTGGTAGGGGAGGTGGGGGAGGGAGGTAGCACATCATTAAGATGGGTGACTCTTCCGGGACTCTGTGTGCCCAGTGTGTGACCCTCACCTTCCCCTCTGGCCAACAGGAAAAGGCCGCTATGGTGAGGTGTGGCGGGGCTTGTGGCATGGTGAGAGTGTGGCCGTCAAGATCTTCTCCTCAAGGGATGAACAGTCCTGGTTCCGGGAGACCGAGATCTACAACACAGTGCTACTCAGACACGACAACATCCTAGGCAAGGGGAGGGCCGGCTGTGCAAGGCCCAGGGCTTCATTCTCCTGGGCTGGAGTTCCCAGACCTCCAGACATCAGCAGAACCCTGAAGGACTCCCAGCCCACCTGCAGCCCCAACCTCTTTTTTTTTTTTTTTTTTTTTTGAGATGGAGTCTTGCTCTGTTGCCCGGCTGGAGTGTAGTGGCATGATCTCGGCTCACTGCAACCTCCACCTCCCAGGTTCAATCGATTCTCCTGTCTCAGCCTCCCAAGTAGCTGAGACTATAGGCACTCACCACCACGCCCAGCTAAATTTTGTATTTTTAGTAGAGACATGGTTTCACCCTCTTAGCCAGGAAGGTCTTGATTTCTTGACCTTATGATCTGCCCATCTCGACTTCCCAAAGTGCTGGGATTACAGGCATGAGCCACCACAACTGGCCTTTTTTTATTTTTATTTTTTTTGAGACAGGGTCTTGCTCTGTCACCCAGGCTGGAATGCAGTGACTCAGTCTCACTGCAGCCTCAATCTCTTGAGCTCAAGCAATCCTCCCACTTCAGCCTCCTGAGTAGCTGGGACCACAGGCATGTGCCATCATGCCCAGCTAACTTTTTTTTTTTTTTTAGAGATGAGGTCTTCCTGTGTTGCCCAAGCTGGTCTCAAATTCCTGGGCTCAAGCAATCCTCCTGCCTTGGCCTCCTAAAGTGTTGGGATTACAGGTGTAAGCCACTGTGCCAGGTCCAGACCCAACCTCTGACCCCAGCTGTGTCTCTGACCTAAGCCACATCAACCCCCCACCCCACCTAGCTTAGCAGTGACCCAGCCAATTCCCTCTCCCCCAACCCCACCCTGACTCTGACCACTCCAGCCTCCCTCTGCCCCAGCCCCTTAGCTGAGTCACCCGACCCTTCTGCGCACAGGCTTCATCGCCTCGGACATGACCTCCCGCAACTCCAGCACGCAGCTGTGGCTCATCACTCACTACCACGAGCACGGCTCTCTCTACGACTTCCTGCAGAGACAGACGCTGGAGCCCCATCTGGCTCTGAGGTTAGCTACGTCCGCGGCCTGCGGCCTGGCGCACCTGCACGTGGAGATCTTCGGTACACAGGGCAAACCGGCCATCGCCCACCGCGACTTCAAGAGCCGCAACGTGCTGGTCAAGAGCAACCTGCAGTGTTGCATCGCCGACCTGGGTGAGCCGGGCGGGGCAGGGGCGGGTCCTTCGCAGGTGGGCGGGGCCCGCGCGCTCTCCTCGCCTTTGCCTGTGACCATGGCGGTGACCATGATTGGCGCTTGAAAACTTATCGGTGCGTGTTGTCTCAGTTCTCCTCTACAAGACCCCACGAGTTGTCTGAACACCCTTTTCAAACCCAGACTCCTTCCACCATACCGTCCTGGCTCCAGGAGTTGGGAGAAAGGAGGCAGGAGCCGGGAACGGGGTTCTCTTCCTGGCTTCGCCAACTGCATCTCTCCCCGTCATCAGCCTCCGGGTCTGCTCCGTGAAGTGGGCATCATAATGCCTGCCTTGCCCACTCACATCTTGCTGGGTTCTTGGGAACCTAGAGAGTGCTGCACAAGCCAAGAGTACCTGGGGCGGTGGTTCTCTCTGTGGCCACTGTCTTCCAGCCCATCTCCCTGCGGGTCCCCATCTGCCTGCCCCTCTCTGTTCCACTGTTTCTCCCAGTCCCCACCTTGCCTGCCCCCTGGACCCCAGGCTCAGGAGAGGGGCAGGAGTGACAGGCCTCATCCCCACAGGCCTGGCCGTGATGCACTCACAGGGCAGCGATTATCTGGACATCGGCAATAACCCGAGAGTGGGCACCAAGCGGTACATGGCGCCTGAGGTGCTAGACGAGAGGATCCGCACGGACTGCTTTGAGTCCTACAAGTGGACTGACATCTGGGCCTTTGGCCTGGTGCTGTGGGAGATCACCCGCCGGACCATCGTGAACGGTGAGGGCCCACCCTGCACAGGGTAGGAAAAGGGCAATCGGCTGCCTGCTATGGCCAGTGCCCATGGCCTGGGATGTTTACAGCCAGACCTCCTGGCACCCCTTGCATGCTGCCTACTGGCTAGTTCAGCTGAGTGACCTCTTAAGGTATAAACCTTAAAAAAGAATGGAGTCTGTGAGTCTGTCTGTGAAATCTTGAGTAGGTAATAACAGAAATATTAATAGCAGCTAATATTGATTAAGCTTAAATATGTGCCAGATGCCATGCTATATCTTTACATGTATTATCTTATTTAATTCTTTTTTTCTGAGATGGAGTCTCACTCTGTCACTGAAACTGGAATGCAGTGGCACCGAGTTGGCTCACTGCAACCTCTGTCTCCTGGGTTCAAGCAATTCTCCTGCCTCAGCCTCCTGAGTAGCTAGGATTACAGGCACCCACCACCATGCCTGGATAATTTTTTAATATTTTTAATAGAGACAGGGTTTCACCATGTTGGCCAGGCTGGTCTTGAGCTCCTGACCTCAGGTGATTCGCCCTCCTCAGCCTCCCAAAGTGTTGGGATTACAGGCGTGAGCCACGGTGCCTGGCTTATTTAATTCTTTGGTATGGGCAAGGCAGTGGTATTGCTTAGTGGCTAAGAGCATAGGCTTGGAATCAGACTTCCTGGGTTCTATTCCTGATTTTGCCATGTCTGTGGACAGGTTACTTGACCTCTCTGTGCCTCAGTTTCCTCATTTGTAAAATGAAAATAAGGCCAGGTGTGGTGGCTCACACCTGTAATCCCAGGACTTTGGGAGGCCGAGGTGGGCAGGTCACCTGAGGTCAGGAGTTCGGGACCAGCCTGGTCAACATGGTGAAACCCCCGTCTGTACTAAAAATACAAAAATTAGCTAGGTGTGGTGGTGCATGCCTGTAATCTCAGCTATTCAGGAGGCTGAGGCAGGAGAATCACTTGAACCCCGGAGGCAGAGATTGCAGTGAGCCGAGATCATGCCACTGCACTCCAGTCTGGGTGACAGAGTGAGACCCTGTCTCAAAAATAAATAAATAAATAAATAAAATGAGAATAAAAATAACTTCCAGTTGTTGAGATAATCTAAGTATTAAGAACAATATCTAGAGCTAAATATTAGTGGCCGTTATTGTTGTAGATAGAATAAGTTCCTGACATTGTATTGTGCCCATTTTACAGTTGAATGATGGGGGCACAGAATGACAGCTGGCTTGAGGCAGCATCAAGGGCAGTCTGGCCCAGGGCCAGTGCTCATCCTCACCGTGTGCACTTAACCTCTCTGGCCCTTGATTTCCTCAGGCTCACAATGCATGTACTTGAGTGCCCGCACTGCCTGCTGATTGCGGCCTTGTTGTTACTGTGGGTTGCCACAGGGTACTCTGACTTAGAGGGTTTTGGCCAGTAGGGGGACCTGCCCTGGTCAGCCCTGTGTTCGGTGCTCTCTCAGCCCTGGGGTGGGTGGAGGATGGGTGGGTTGTGCAGACTGGTGGGAGTATTGTCAACCTTTGAGGAGGCTGTCCATGGTAAGAGACTTCCAGGAGTCCTGACAGGTTGGGGACAATCCTCAGCATATGGCTGGAGCCCTGCTTCTTGGGGACAAGGATGTCCTCATTTCCTGAGCATCTACCAGGAGCCAGCCCCATGCCAGACTTCATTTGTCCTCAGTGGTCATCAACTGAAAACAGAGGCTGTGGTGTCACCAGTCCCTTGGGGAGACTCACAAGGGGCTTAGATTCCTTTTTTTTTTTGAGGTGGAGATTCACTTTTGTTGCCCAGGCTGGAGTGCAATGGTGCGATCTTGGCTCACTGCAACCTCTACCTCCCAGATTCAAGCGATTCTCCTGCCTCAGCCTCCCGAGTAGCTGGGATTACAGGCATGTGCCACCACGCCCAGCTAATTTTGTATTTTTAGTAGAGACAGGGTTTCTGCATGTTGGTCAGGCTGGTCTTGAACTCCTGACCTCAGGTGATCCACCTGCCACAGCCTCCCAAAGTGCTGGGATTACAGGCATGAGCCATCGCACCCAGCCTAGATTCCTTAAGACTCTGGGCATGAACTGCCAGAGTGGGCTCTAAGGAGGCTGGAGTCGGGGGAAAGGGGAACCTGGAAGAAGCCAAGGCCCCTTGGACCAGGCGGCAGGCCAGAAAGGAAAGGCTGGGAGGACGCTGCCTGCAGGCTCCTGGGGTGGAGGGGGAAGCTCTGTCAGCCCCACACGGAATTGCGGCACATTATAAACACTGTAATCTGGTGTCAGCCCCGCCACTGATTAAAGGCCCATTAGACACACTCAGGCCTCTGTGCAGCACTGATTAGGGCGCGAGCGGCACAGGGGCCGGCCTGGAAGCTGGCCATGGGGAGAACAGCTGGCGAAGGCTGTATCGAGGTTGTAGCCTGTGTGGCCATGGCCTGCAGCCTCGGGCTGGGAAACAGGATGGGGCACGGGGATGCCTGCAGCTCCACAGGCATTATTTTCAGAAAGCTCCTACTAAAGACTGTGAACTTGGGAAACCAAGAGGAGGGGGCCAGTGCTGGCTGCAGGGGTCAGCAGAGGCCGTGGTGATGTTACGTGGACCTGGGTAAAAATAAGCGCAGCTCGGAGGTCAAGAGCACATACTTTGGTGTTAGACTTTCTGTGCTTAAGTCCTATCCCTGTCACTTACTATCTGTTGGTCTTAGACAAGTTTCTTCAACTCTCTGGCCTTACTTTCTTGGCGTATAAAGTGGAGCTAATAGTATGACTTACCTCATAGGGCTGCTGTGAGGATTTCATGCAGAGATCTTAGGACAGCACCTGGCACACAGTGCTCAGTAAACATTTGGTGTTATTATTATCTGGCATGTGTGATAGTTGGGGCCTGGGTGCGGTCCCGGGCACGGGGTGGAAGGGAGCTGAGGCAAGACTGGAACAAGACTGGCCTAGGAATCCCAGATGGGTTTGAGTTTTGCCTCTGCTGTGGGGCCTTGGGCCCACTTCTCTGAGCATCAGTTTCTTCATCTGTGAAATGGAGGTAATACAAGTCCCCACCCCACAGGGCTGTGGTGAGGACAAACAGGATGATGCATGTAAAGTGTTTACAGCATGATGCCTGGCACACGCCAAGTGCAAAACAAATGGCGGTCATTAATACTAGTTAGATATACATTTATGGCCGGACATGGTGGCTCACACCTGTAATCCCTGCACTTTGGGAGGCTGAGGCGGGCAGATCACCTGAGGTTAGGAGTTTGAGACCAGCCTGGCTAACATGGTGAAACCCCGTTTCTACTAAAAATACAAAAAATTAGCCAGATGTGGTGGCACACACCTGTAATCCCTGCCACTCAGGAGGCTGAGGCAGGAGAATCGCTTGAACCCAGGAGGCAGAGGTTACAGTGAGCTGAGATTGTGCCATTGCACTCTAGCTTGGGCAATAAGAGTGAAATTCCATCTAAAAAAAACCCAAAAAACACATTTATTACATTATAGTGTTCTTCTCAGTGGTAGCATGCCCAGGCCACTGGTTTCTGGCCCTTGGGATGGAGGGTGGGCAAGGTTCTCCTCTGGGTGGTACTGGGCCTCCTTGGGGTTCCGAGTGATTGTCTCATCCATCCTTTATTTCCAGGCATCGTGGAGGACTATAGACCACCCTTCTATGATGTGGTGCCCAATGACCCCAGCTTTGAGGACATGAAGAAGGTGGTGTGTGTGGACCAGCAGACTCCCACCATCCCTAACCGGCTGGCTGCAGACCCGGTGAGGCTTCTGCTGGGACTAGGATGGCGTGGGGTGGTGGATCACAGCAGGGATTTCTGGGCCCGGGAAGCTGTGTCTGAGGCCTCTGCTTCATCTCAGATAGACGCTGGGTGTCCTGGTTAGGGCACTTCTCTAAGTACTCCCTCTTTCAACCCTGGCCCATGCTCCCCGTCCCCAGGGACCTCTGGTCATTCTGGGATTTTAAGAAACTTCACCTTCCCTGTGAAAAGTCAGAGGCTCTCTGCGGCTGTGTGTGTGTGTTTTAGAGACAGGGTTTTGTTTGCTCCTGTCGCCCAGGCTGGAGTACGGTGGCACAAGCACAGCTCACTGTAACCTCAAACTCTCGGGCTCAACCAGTCCTCCTGCCTCAGCCTCTCCAGTAGCGAGGTGTAGTGCACACCACCACACCTTGCTGATTTTTAATTTTTTTTTGTTGAGACAAGGACTTTTATATTGCTCAGGCTTATCTCAAACTCTTGGGCTCAAGTGATCCTCCTGCCTCAGCCTCCCAAAGTGTTGGGATTATAGGTGTGAGCCTCCACACCTGGCCGCTGTGATATTTTTGTTGCTGTTGTTTGCCTTCGTTTTTTTCTCAAAACAAACACTTCACATGCTTATACAAAGACACATACACGTCTGTCAACACATACAAGCATACATATCCTTCTGAACATGCAGTCACAGATATATACACATGCACATATATGCCAGACTGTTGGCTCCATGAGGACAAAGGACGTGTCTTTTGCTCACCCTTATATCCCTGTTACCTATCAAAGTACCTGGCTCACAATGAGTGCTAATATTTATGGAAAGAATGAATATATTATATACATGATACATGTATGTATACATAAACATACATTTCTGTACAACATACATATCCACAAAAAGCCACAGGTATGCGTTCCTGTACACACACACATACACTCTTTCAGGAGCTGGAAGTGAGGCCGGCTCATCCTAGGCCCTGGGATGGGCTGATGAGCTTCCTGGGATGCGTTGCTGCCTGGACACATGCATTTTTAGGGCCGTTCCCACTGCTCAAACTTCCATAGTCCACTGGGCCCAGCCATGGCTAGTGGAGGGACTGGGAGGGGCTGCCCTCTGCACTAGAGCCTTAGGCTGTGGATGGGGATGCGGGAGCCGCCAGGCTTACAGATTCTGCTCCTTTGCGTGAATCTAGGCAGAGGTAGGGGTGGAGGTAAGGTGTTTCACAGACACTGCCAAGGGAGCTTGAGTGCTCCTGAAGATTTGAGTTCTCTCTTTCTGTCCCCCTTGCCTTTCTCCATTCTTTTCTCACTCTCCTCCCTTCCTCTTCCATTTCTGATTTTTTGTCATCCTCTGTTCTCCCTCTCACTGCTTGTCTTTCCAATGCTCTCATCTCCCTCCTCTCACCCTTTTTCTCCTGCTTTTGTCTCCCCATTACTGGCCATCCTCCTCACCTCCTTCTTCCCATCTTCTCTGACCCATATCCCTGCCTCCTCTCCTCTGTGTCTCTCTCCTGACCCCCAGGTCCTCTCAGGCCTAGCTCAGATGATGCGGGAGTGTTGGTACCCGAACCCCTCTGCCCGACTCACCGCACTTCGGATCAAGAAGACGCTACAGAAAATTAGCAACAGTCCAGAGAAGCCCAAAGTGATTCAGTAGCGCAGGAGCGCCTAACTCCTCTTGGCACGCAGCGGGGTGGGGGGTGGGGAGTGGATGGTGTCCTATCTGGGTAGTATGAAGTGGTGTGTGCTGGGGAGGGGGTGCCCCTCTATGGGCAGCTGCGCCTGCCTGCTTGGGCCCCAGCCCATCCAGCCAAAAATACAGCTGGGCTGAAATCTGATCCCCTGCCGTCTGGCCTGCTCAAAGCAGCAGGCTCTCTGACGCCTGGCTCTCTCTCCCCACCCCCTACGGCCAGCAGGGTGCACCCCCTACCATTCCCAGGACAGGATGCAAAAGAGGCTCCAGAGTCAGATTGCCAAGCCAGGGAATCCCAGTCCCAGACTCAGAGCTTGGGCCTGTACTTTGTCCCCTGCCCTTGGTCAACCCCACTGCTCCACCAGAGCTGCTAGGGTGGCACAGGGCCCTGTCCAGCCCTCGGCACACACTGCCCTGCCAGGCTTTAGTCTCTGTCACAAACTCCAGAGGGCCAGGGCCCATCCATTTCTCTCCATGGGTTTATATCTCAGCTCTATGATGCCTTGGACTTTCTCTCTCCTCAACAAGAACACAGCTTGCTGAATGTCAGCTGCCTGGGAGAGCTGACACCTGACTTATTAGGGCATTAAAACCTAAGAGGTCCTACTGAGGGTGTGGCAGGATCACAGGCCAGTGGAGAGGGGGCAGGTCAGATGGGTAAGGCCCAGGACTTTCAGAATAACTGAGAGGATGGTGAGGTCAAGTATGGCAAGCAGAAGGTCCGTGGGTGTCAAGAGACCCAGGTCTGATCCTCAGGCCTGTCTCAGTTCCTTTTCTTTTTTGACACAGAGTTTTCCTCTTGTTGCCCAGGCTAGAGTGCAATGGTGAGATCTTGGCTCACTGCAAGCTCCACCTCCTGGGTTCAAATGATTCTCCTGCCTCAGCCTCCCAAGTAGCTGGGATTACAGGCGTGTGCCACCATGTCCAGCTAATTTTGTATTTTTTATAGAGATGGGGTTTCTCCATGTTGGCCAGGCCAGTCTCGAACTCCCAACCTCAGGTGATCTGCCTACCTCGGCCTCCCAAAGTGCTGGGATTACAGGCATGAGCCGTCATGCCCAGCCAGGACCTTTTTCTTATCTACATATGGGAGGATTTGGTCCTGAAGTCCTCTGAGGCTTCTTTAGCTCCAGTTCTCAGGTTTCAGTCTATATCAGAGCTAACTTCCTCAGTCCCATCTATTCCTTATGCTCCAGCCCCTGGCAATTTGCCTCAAGATGTGGGTTTGAAAATAACTTTGACTCAGGGAATGTCTGAAGCACCTCCCAGTCTAAGTCTGCAAGCCCCAGTTCTTGCTTAAAGCCATGCCAGTGGCCACCCTTGGGCTCAAACAGCTCTGGGCCTTTTGACCAACAAGTCAACCCCTCACCCTCTCTGTGGCATACTCTTCTCTGCCCCAGGACTGTGGGGCGGCTTCCTCTAGGGCTTTCAAGGCTCAAAAGAAATTTGGCTCCATCCAAGAAGCTTCCAGCTCCCTCACTGGCCCCTGCTTCAGGCCCACAACCCTGGTCAGGCCCGTAGAGTGTGTCTCAGGAGGATTCAGTGGCCCTAGAGACACACAGAAAGTTTGGCCTTTGGAAATGTCAAGGGTGTATGTTCATGTATGGAGCACATTACCCTGGCCCCTGGGTGCAGGGAAGTGGGTTGGAGGGAAGCTTGAGGAATATAAGGAGCTGGGGTGGGGACTCAGGCTATGGCCAAGGACAGCCCCAAGATTGGGAAGACTGGCCTGGCAGTCCTCAACCCGGAGGCAGGGCAGTGAAGAATGCTCTTCTGCTCCTGCTGTAACGACCCAGGGCAGCCTCCCCAGGCCGGCATTTTAAGTGTGTCTTCCACCATTCTCACAGTGGCACCTTTCCAGGCCTGTCTCCCAGCATTGTGCAAGGCTCGGACAACCAGGAAGTGAAAGTGGGTGAAAACAGAAAGCTAAACGGACTAGGGCTGGGTTCCCAGATCATTAGGACAGAGTTTGCAAGTCCTCTGGTCATTGGAACCCACCCAGTCCACGAATCATCTCCCTCCTGAAGGACTTTATCTCTGCTGGGTTTTAGGAAAAACTCCTCCTGAGACCCCACTGCCAGAAACTGAAAGCTGCAGCTCCCCAAACGCTGGAAAATCCCTAACAGAAGGCCTGGGGCAGGAAGTGGAGTGACAGGGGGCAGGTAGAGAGAAGGGGGCCCAATGGCCAGGGAGCGAAGGAGGTGGCGTTGCTGAGAGCAGTCTGCACATGCTTCTGAGTGCTGGAAGCTGTTCCACGGTGGAAATTACACTTCTCTTACCTGGAGATACTGTTTGTGGGAGCACTGGGCACGTACCTGACACTCAGTAGGTCTGCAATAAACCATGGTTAAATCCTGAGCTACGGAGTCTTCCCAGGCCGATGTCTCTGCAGTGGCAATCACTGCAGAGGTCCAGATAGAACAAGAGGGGTCGGGGTTGGAGAGGGTCCAAGGATACATACCCAGCTTTGCCTTTACACAGGTCACAGTTTCCTCACGTCCCTGCTCAGATCCCCGCGGGGGCCCAAATCTCAGTTCCGACCTCGGACTGCGAGCAGTCTGCCAGCCGCGCCCGCCACGTCGCCCTCTGCTGGCCGCGGGCTGCCCAGCGGCCGCCTCCTGCCCCCAAGCTGGGACCGCGGGCCTTTCCCGACAGGGTGGGGCAGCCTTCCCCGCCCCTGGGCGCCAGCGTGCGTGCGCTCGCTGACCTGCTGTTCTGCAGGGACTGTCCCCGAACACCGCACCTAGCAAAGAGCTTTCTGCGTCCGAACCAGCGGCTTGGACCCGCCCTCCTCAATTCCTTGTTCTCACTTCCCTTCTCAAATGGGGTCCCCGTCTTGCCGGGAGTCAGTCCCCATTTCCCGCATGAGAAGATCCCCTTCCCTGGGAACCTACCCTGTCCTGGGCTCAGAAAGCACGTCACACACACACCCCATTCACACCCCGGAAATTCGGGGCGGGGACATGCCATGGGGAAGGCAGGTACTAAAAGCTGATCCTGGCCCGTGGGACTGACCAGCCTAGAAAATGTGCGTTTGTGCTAGACGGACGCCCTCTTAGGGGAACACAGGGAGAGTACACCTTACACCACAGATGACCTTGCCGGCCCCTTGCAATCGCAAGGTGGGCTCATGCCTAGAGCCTCCTGTCCTGGGTTCATGGGTCCCCCACAACACAGTGCCTTCCCAGAGGATTCCGCACCGGCCTCAGATCAGCTTTGAGAATATAGGAGCGTTGCTAGCATCCAGCAAAGGCAGCCTTTTCCCTCTACCTGTGCCTGCCAGACTCTCCGTGATGTCCACGCTATGGTTGGAGAGTGGGAAAAAGGGCAGTGGGGAAATTGCAGAAAAAGGGGTACGTGAACGCTAAGCAGGCTCTGGGGCAAGATTGGCTCACTGCTCTTGGGTTCCTGCGAAGATATCTTGGGAAGTCACCCCATCCAAGCCCCTGCCTACAAGTAGACCTCAGGGAACCTCCCTGCCTTTGGAGGAAAAAAACCTACTGCTCACTTTGCTTCTCTGCAGCTTTGCCTTGACTTCCTAGGGGACCCTAGGCCCCAATTTCCCATCTAGACCAAGAGGGAGAGGACCACCTGTGTGGTAAAAGCCCTCCCTGAGGGGTGATAGGTGTCATAACATGCCACAGTGGGGAAGAACGTAACTCCTGGAGCATGAGCCTTGATGTGGAGGGCCACCCCTTCCCCTGCCAAGGCCTCCCAACAGCTCTCCTCTCCACCCTCCAAGACACCATCCTCCTTCGGTCCTGCCTTGCACCAGCCTCCAAGGAGGGTGCTCTTTCCTCCATATCCTCACCAACTTTAAGCTCAACAGCCCAAGAGACGGCCAAGTCCTCACGCCTAAGAGTCCCTGTCCTGGGGGTGGAGTTGGGGGTGCACGTCCTGCATCCAGTCTCCCAGAGCTGGGACTGATGCTAGCTGTGCGATCGTCACTCTGGGTGGGCGACTCTTGGAATGAGCTGCTTCCACCAGGGCCACATTCAGTTTGCTAGAAATAGAGACAGAGGGCTTTTTGACTTTGCATATGATTTGCATAATGTCATAGACACACAGTCTATTTTCAGGCAGTTTTCAGGTTAAAGTGTTGTCACTGCTGCCCTGCAGAGTGTCATGTCTGGATGAGTCTCTTCTCTGTTCTTTCTCACCCACCCACTCTTACTGACCTACATCCCCAGCTGCAGGAGCAAATGGTGAGGCAGGGGGAGAGTGGGGTTGTCCAGGGAGACACAGGGGCAAGGAAATAAAGGGAATTTCCTTATTATCAGCATCACCAGAAACAGAATCGGTTTGCTCAAGGGCGACTGATAGGCAGAGGATAAGGAGCAGGAAGCCAGGTAACCCATCTTCCGTTCTGCACAAACCCTTCCCACCTCTCCTACCAGGAGAACAACCAGCTTCTGTTTCTCTATTCAGTCTTTCGCGGGTTTGAAGAAAGAGATTTAGGTAGATAAACCTGTTTCTTTCAGCCACCCATAAAGCATTGCTTGGCCCAGACATCCCTCATGGGCATTTATTTTCAGCACTTAACTCTTCACCTCGTGGGAAATCTGACCTGCAGTCTGTTGCTCTCCTGGGAGGCTTATCTGAGAGATCAAGATCCTCGTCTCATCGATATTTTTGGAGCAGCTGGCACACAGTAGGAGGTCAGTCAGTGCTGGAGTCTCCCTTCTCTTCTGCATCTGGAGGTCTGTACGAAGTACCTCATTGTCCCAGGACCGGAGGCTCGACACACGCACCAGCCTCTGAGGGCTCAGATGCAGAAACAGACTTACAAGGGCCAGTTGAGGTTACTAAGTTATCAGGGACCTTGGCCTGTGGCTCGGCCTCTTCGCCTGGAAAGGAGGGGAACTGGTGGAGATTACGGGCAAAGACAATTCCCATTTTATAGCTTGGGCTGTTTGGTGACCTTCCTTGGTCACAGAGGGGCAGGGCTGGAGCCCCACCCAGGGCTCCCTCCCGTAGATCCTCCGGCCTTGGGGCATATCTGGTGTGCTGTCTTCCTGTGTACATCAAAGGATCTACCAGATGCCAAGGCAAAGAGCCTGAGAACCTTACGGGGTCCTGGGAAAGGGGAGGCCACTTGGTCTGGCTGCCCAGCCTCGACGCGCTACCCAGAATTCCCTGTCCCGTCCCGTGTCCAGCCCCCAGGACCTGCTTCAGCCCCTCAGGCAGGCGTTTCCTGTTGATAAGAAGCTCAGTCACAAACACTGATAAAGAGATGAAAAAAGGAAATCGACAGGCTTGGGTATAATGGGCATTTTGTCTGCCTTTTTTACCCCTCTTCCTTCTCCCAGCTCTGCCCCCTCCCACCCCCCCTCCAAGTACCACTTCCCAGAACTGAGGAGAAAACTTGCCCCCGCCTCCTCCACTGTGGGCCCTATTTCACAGTCTCCAGGAATTTGGCCTGAAGGCTTACATAGGTCTCAGAAGGAGGGCCCAGTCCAGCCAGGGTCATGACATGAGCCCTGAAGCAGGAAGCACTGGGTGCTGGGAGGTTCCCAGCCCAGGCAAATGGGCAGCTTCGCCTAGAGGAAGGACAGTCCAGCGCAGGTTTCATCGAGGACCATCCTCTTCCCTCCCTCCCTCCTCCCAGAGGCCTGGATCCAAGTGGTGGTTAGGTGGCTGGTCTGTAATTAGTACATTTTCCATAATTTTAGTCTCAAGCTCATTACTGGAAAATCTCATCAATTTTGATTCTGCTAATTTGGAATCTATGATCCTTCAGGCCAAGAGGTTGAACTGATATTTAGAAAAATAAACAAAGCAAACAAGTTTCGAGGCAGGCCCTACCACCCTTCTTGGGTTTGGATTTTTAAGTTCAGCATGACAAAGGCAGGTGTCCTAAAGCGCGCCTGCAATTGAGATAATCTGCCACCAGGTGGGTGATGAGGCTTTGCCTGTCACTGGTGCTTTAGGTAGTCATTGCTCATGGACAGATGTTTTAACGATTTTATATTTGGCCAGGCATGGTGGCTCACCCCTGTAATCCCAGCACTTTGGGAGACTGAGGTGGGCAGATTACCTGAGGTCAGGAGTTCAATACCAGCCTGACCAACACAGAGAAACCTAGTCTCTACTAAAAATACAAAATTAGCTGGGCGTGGTGGGGCATACCTCTAATCCCAGCTAGTGGGGAGGCTGAGGCAGAAGAATCACTTGAACTTGGGAGGCGGAGGTTGCGGTGTCAGCTGAGATCGTGCCATTGCACTCCAGCCTGGGCAACAAGAGTGAAACTCCGTCTCAAAAAAAAATGTATATTCAATGATTCTGTCCCCTTCTTCTCCAGAGATGTAATTACTTAATAAAACAGTAAGGCAAATAGAAAAGTGGACTAGATGGTTCCAAATGGCCAGCGTTTAAAAGAAAACCTCTGCAGCCAATTAAGCCGCCTGGGTTCCTTTCCTCATGGGGGCCCAGTGTGAAATGGCTGCAAACAGCAGCTTCCTTGGTAGTGTAATGCAGCCTGTTTCTTGTATGGGTTGCTCTAAGAGACCTTGGAGATAGGCCATTCAGATGTATGTTCATGTCTCTGACCTTGCACTACCCCTGTGTAGGCTCCATACAGGCATGTGAGGTTCCTTTGGAAAGCCCCAGGGCACTGTGGCCGGGGTTCACATTGGCCAAGTGATCATGTCCATCCGCACCAAGCTGCAGAACAAGGAGCATGTGTGAGGCCCTGCGCAGGGCAAAGTTCAAGTTCCCTGGTCGCCAAAAGATCCACATCTCAAAGAAGTGGGGCTTCACCAAGTTCAATGTCGGTGAATTTGAAGACATGGTGGCTGAGAAGCAGCTCATCCCAGATGGCCATGGGGTTAAGTACATCCCCAGTCATGGCCCTCTGGACAAGTGGCAGGGCCTGCATTCATGAGGGTTTCCACTGTGTTGTCCCCTGTTCATATTTACCAATAAATTCTACTTCCTGTCCAAAAGAAAAAGAAAAAGAAAGAAAGAAGAAAGAGAGATGAAAGAAAGAAAGAAAGAAAAGAAAGAAAGAAAGAAGGAAAGAAAGAAAAAGAA